TGAACAAAGATGTGCTCTAGGGGACATCACTAATACAATGAATGAGAAATCTAGAAAAGGGCAGTGGAAGAAGAAAGCAAGATTATGAGGAACAGGAACTAAAGGAGATCAGAAAGGGAAAGAGGTAGCTATGGTGGACAGTTTAGGAAAGAGATGCAGGAGGGGATTGACATGTGATGAGAATGAACCAAGAAAGGAAAGCAAAAAAGCGAGAAAAAACTGGGAAGCGGCAGGGATTGAAACTGTAATTGGACAACAGATGGAGGTGGAAATCCATAATCAGGTTAATCAGGTTGAGGAAGCCAGCCTTGAGTGGCCCCGAGTTTCCCAATGAGAGTCATAATGTGGAACTGTAGAGGAATTGACAACTCTTCTACAGTTGAGAGAGTCTTGTAGACTCTATAATCCGGAGGTAGTGTTTGTGTGTGAAACAAAAAGGAAAGGGGGTTTTGTTAGAAATGTGGGCAATAAGATAGGATTTGGGAAGAAATGGTATGCAGTAGAACCGGTGGGTTTGAGTGGGGGGATGGTATTGGGGTGGAAGGAGGATGTAGCTGTCTATAGTATTGTATCTTCAAGATTTTCTATTGAAGTGGAGATGGAAACAAAAGAGACAGGGGATAGAATTTGGGGTATTTTTGTGTGTGCAAGTACAAATGGGCAGGAGAGGGCTAAGCAATAGGAGTACTTAGTTAATAGGTAAGCAGCATGGGGACAAAAGTGGTTTATGGGGGGGGGGGGAGGAATGACATTAGGAATGAAGGGGAAAAGAGAGGAGGAAGAAGGAGAAGTGAAGGCAGTTATGAAGACTCTAAGAGATTTATCACGGAGATGCAAATGAAGGAATTGAGATTTGAGGGCAGAAGGTGGACCTGGGCAAATAACAGATGTGGAGAAGGGTACATTGAGGAAAGATTGGATCGAGTTTTTGGTTCTGCCAGTTGGTTGCTTGCGAATGAGAAAGCTATAGTGAGCCACATTGATAGACATGCCTCGGATCACTGTTTACTGCTCATGGACACAGAACCAGCAAGGAAGAAGTATAAAAGCATATTCTACTGTGATAAAAGATGGGTGAAAAAAGAAGGAATAGCTGAGGTGGTGAGTAGCGTATGGAATATAGAAGTAGAATGATCAAAGATGCATAAAGTTTTGCTGAAAATAAAAAGATGCAGAGTAGAACTGTTGAAATGGAGTAGAACTAATATGCAAAACTCCAATAAGGTGATTAAGGAGGTTTCAAAGGAAATGAATATCATAAAGAGCCTTAGGGGAAGCAGAGACTGGAAGAATTGGCATGAGTTAAAAGACAAACTAGATAAAGCTTATGAAGAGGAAGAAGTGTACTGGGCTCAGAAAAGTAGAAACATTTGGTTGAAAGAAGGTGATAAGAACTCCAAGTTTTTCATGCTTCCACAGTCTAGAGAAAAAAAAGGAACAGGATGAACAGAATGGAGAGAGATGATGGAACATGGTGCGAGAAAGAGGAGAAATTGGTGAGGAAGTGGGGAAATTCTTTGAGGACCTGTTTAAATCAGAAGATAGTGGGGGTTGGGAAGAGCTGCTAGAGGAGGTGTCTACAACGATTACACAACAGATGAACTCAGCTTTGATCCGTCCAGTGAAGGAGGGGGAGATAAAAACTACTCTGTTCAACATGAACCCACATAAAGCACTAGGAATTGATGGTATGACCCCTTTATTTTTCCAATTTTTTTTGGACTATTGTGAAAGATGATATATGTGTAACAGTGAAAAGTTTTTTCCTTGCAAATTTCATGCTGAATTCTTTTAACCACACTGTTGTTTCTTTGATTCCTAAAATTGAACACCCAACCAAAATATGCCAATATCGACCAATTAGTTTATGCATTGTCCTTTATAAAATTATTTCAAAAATACTTGCTGATAGAATGAAACCAGTGCTCCCTTTCTGCATAGTGAAAATCAGTCAGCCTTTCTAGAAGGAAGACAAATTCTTGATAACGTAGCCATAGCACATGAGTATATACACTACTTAAATAGTCTGAGAAATAAACAGCAAGGTTTTGTGGCAATTAAACTAGACATGGCGAAAGCTTATGACAGTGGAGTGGAAACTTCTTTCATAAATGCTAATTAGAATGGGGTTTGATTTGCAATTTGTGGGGTGGGTGATGCAGTGTATTAGAACTACCTCTTTCTCTTTTAACATTAATGGGAAAATTAAGGGGTATATTAAACCATTTAGAGGGATTCAGCAGGATGACCCACTATCACCTTACCTGTTTTTAATATGTTCGGAGCTTTTCCCCACTTTATTAGGGCTGCAGTGGGTAGGGGGAAATGAGTGGTTTAAAAATCAGTCAAGGTGGTCCAGAAATCACGCATCTCTTTTTCGCTGATGATGCCTTATTATTCTGCAAGCTGAAAATAGTCATATAAGATGTCTGAAAAAAATAATGGCTGATTATGGGGTTTGTTTCCGGACAGAAAGTCAATTGGGATAAATCATCTTTATTTTTTAGTAAAAATGTACCTGTAACTAAACGTGACTTGATTTGTGCATAACTAAATGGGGTTGGAATTCATTTGAAATCTAAATATTTAGGACTGCCCTTAGTGATTGGGAGATCGAAAGCTGAAGTTTTTAAATATGTGGAGGAAGCAGCAGCCAAGAGAATAAGCAACTAGAAGGCAAAATTTTTGTCAAATGCAGGGAAGGAGGTCTTGCTGAAATCTGTGATCCAAGCTCTACCAATATATGCCATGTCATGCTACAAAATTACGGCAGGAGTTTGTAGAAGGATTGAGAGCAGTATGTCGAAATTCTGGTGGGGGGGATGGAGAGGAAAAAAGAAAGATCCATTGGGGAGCTTGGAGGAAATTAGCTCAGGGAAAGGAACAAGGGGGGATGGGGTTGAGAGGGTTGGAGGAAATGAATGAGGCACTGTTGGCCAAACAGATATTGAGACTAGTTACTGAGCCTAATTCATTATTGGCAAAAGTAATGAAATCCAAATATTACCCAAACTCCTCATTATTTCAGGTGCAACAGAAGGGGAGCGATTTTTGGCTATGGAAAGGGTGGTTGGGGGGGGGGGATGGAGGTAGTTAAGAAAGGTATGCAATGGAAGATAGGTGGGGGGAGAGAGGTGGATATATGGAATGACAACTGGCTACCAAAAGATTACAGAGTTGGACTGATGCACTATGACCATCTAATGAAAATCTAATGAAGGTGTCCCAATTAATTGATCCTGGCACAAAAAATTGGAAACAGGAACTCCTTAAAAGGATCCTAGTGCAAGAGGAAGTTAAATTGGCCATGGAAATCCCCTTGAGTAAGCACGGTGGATCTGATGTGCTAGTATGGGGGAGAGAAAAATGGAAAATTCTTGATGTCTTCAGCCTTCCAAATGGTGGCAATGGAGAAAGAGAACCAGAGAAATGATGAGGAGTCAAGTGAAGGGAGGAAGAAGGCCCAAAGAATCTGGACAAATACAGGGAAGCTTCCAATCAAGCCAAAGCTAAAACATTTCATATGGAAGGTGTATAAAGGATGGATATCAGCAAAATCAGTTCTTGAAAAGAAAGGTATGGCTTTAGATGTAATGTGTTGTGGTTGTAGCATGGAAGCAAAAACGATAGAGCATATTTTCTTTTCATGTAGTGTAGCACAAAATGTCTGGAAACTTGCACCAGTAAGCTGGGATGGGGGGCTGGATAGAAGGCATAGGTTTGCTGATTGGTGGGATATGCTGATGTTAATTGATAAAGGTGCAGAACTGAATGCTCGTATTGAACTCTTAGTGTATTTGATTTGGCACATATGGAAGGCAAGAAATGAATGCATGTTTAGTAATATGAAAATAGAACCTTGGGAGATTGCTCAAAAGGCAGTCTCAGAATGGAGGGAGTATCAGGTGGTGCAAAGAGAAGCAAAGGAGTTAAAAAGTAGAGAATTGAGAGTTGCAGCAGATAATCAGGGGTGGTTGAATCCGGATGCAGGAAGGATTAGAATCAATGTTAGCTCGGTGAAGCACGGGAAGGAGAATATAGCTGGTCTTGGATTCAGTCTGAGGGATGATAAAAGGAAACTGATCGTGGCAAATGCAGTGTACCAAAATCAAATTCAGAGCCATCATGTAGCTCAACTGGAAGCTGTCAGATTAGCACTGGTGGAAGCACAACGAGGTAGATTTTGCAATGTAGAAGTACAATTAGATGTTGAGACAACGATTATATGGTTACAAGGGAAAGTGAATCCCATTGCTGATGTAATCACTATAGTCAAAGACATCTCCTTGTTGAAAGCAGGTTTTAGAAGCTGTAAGTTTTTGTACATCCATAAACAGTGGAATAGTTACAGCCATAATCTAGCCAAATTAGCTTTATTTACCAAATACACACAAGTGTGGACAAATCATGTTCCCTTGTAGTTAGATGAAACATTTAAGGCGGAATGTAATAGCTCCTCATAAGGACTGTAATTACTTTTGATTTTCGTTTTTTTTTTCAAGTAATGAATATTGTTTGTTGACAAAAAAAAAAGCATGGTGCTTCCAGGTATACTGGATACAGACTCCCTAAATTTATTTCAATTACTAATTAGTTTCAACTTACTCCATATGTTTTTTTTTTTAACATTTTCAATAAGATAAACTCATTAAGAAAACATTACAGACGGGGGCTAAGACTTTTCATTTTTCAATACCAGCCAAAGGAAAAGCTTTACAATAATTCCTCTTACAGTCATTGTCATTTTGTAACCTAACTGATGAGATTTTTGAGAGGGAAAATTTTTAAAATGACAATTACAATAATGCCAAAGCCCAAAGCTCAAAATTGTACTTCAATCATCATATTTCTTCAAAATACTGTAACATTTTAAGGTTTTACATTTTTTTAAAAAAAATTTTGGGGGTTAAAAGAAGAAAGAAAGACCTAGAAAATACTACTGGCAGTGGAAGCTTAATACAGATCCGTCACTTACAGAAACAGCCACCCTACAATCAGAACTAGCATAAAGATGGTGGGTAAAGATATGCAAGATCCGAACCCGACCCGCCATTTCCAACTTGGACTCGATCTCCATACTGGGCCCAATACGAACCCCATTAATCCCATCCGTAACAGTTGGGCCTTCACCTCCTCCTCCTCCTCTTCCTCCACCGCCCCAGCCCACAGTCATCGGCTGGTTCGTGAAAAGCGGGAAAGACTGAACCGCGAAACTCGCCGCCATGTACTGGCTCCCGCCGGCGTTAACTTTTCCGGCCGGGATGTACATGAAACCCACCTGACTCCCGGCGTAGAGGAGCTGCAAGGAGCTGTCGTAGTGCGTGAACTCCGCGCGGTTGGGGTTGATGACGGTGACGTACTGGGAGAAGGTGAAGTTAACGGTGCCGTTAGCGACGGAGAAGGTGGGGAGCTGGATGGCGGTGACGGCGAGGCTGACGTCCTTGGGTTTGAAAACGGTGAAGTAGACAATGAGGATGACTATGATGACGAAGATCAGGAAAACGGTTGCGACGATGCATGATGCGCAGTTGGTCCGCCCACTCGGCGGTGGTTTGGGCTTGTTGGGCTTCGGCTTCCCCATTTCTTTTTAGTGTGTGTGCGTGAGAGAGAAATGGAGGAGGATGAATAATGGGTTATGATGAGAAAGAGAGAAAAATGGGAATGGAGCTCAAGGAAGTGGGATACTGTAGTAGAAATCGAGTATGATGGGAGAGAGTGCAGGAAAATGGGGACAAAAAGTCGTAAAAGTTGATCAATTGGAAAGACTTTTTTGTTTGTTTTCGGTTTTCCTGTTTTTCTTTTTTTTTTTTTCCTTTTTCTTTTTCTTTTTTCTTATTTATTTTTTTTTTTGCTTTTTTGTGTATCTTCGCAATGGCGTTACTTTTAAAAAAATATTCATCAGGTTCAAATTGGTCAATTTGGGGAATGTCGGATGCTTTTCTTTTTTTCCCTGGTTTCCATGGCAGTAAAAGGTTGCTTTTAATTATTGTTAATAATTCCAAAGATTAGGGCCACATTGGCTTTCTAATTTTATAAACACTCCCTTTAGCAAAGCTTTCCTGGTAAATTAGTTTCAGGCTTAAGTTTGTAATGTACCAAATGAGAAATGTGAGTAAGTATACTCAGTGTAGAACGTGATTCACAATTACTATTTTGATGCTTTACTTTCTGTAGAAGTACTTATTTTCATTGTTCAGTCTTTCACATGAGAACCAATAAAGATGGTCTTGGATGAGAAGGGACACACTGTGGAAAAGAATGACGGGTTAATTGCTGAGCGCTACCAAAGATTTACTAACCGGGAGTGGAAAGTTTGTACCATGTTTGCGGAGAAGTCAATTTTTGAAGTTGAATTTATAGCATCAGGAGGTCCCTATATATTTTTGTTGTACCACCATTATTAAGACGGCCTAGTTCTTATAGGCCAAAACTCCGTCTAAACTGAGCTTGGATGTAGGTTTCGCATGTGGACTGCGTTATTCTGAGGCACATGTAACCGTTGACTCAGCGCTATCGGGATTTGTCTTTATCAAGTATAACTACATACTCTCTTTATTCGAAAATAATTGTTTAGTTTAGATTTTTACATTTAGTTCAATTTGTTCTGAAAATGAAAATCCAAATTGGACAATAATTTGGGGACGGAGAGAGAGTACAATTTACTAGTAATATAAGAGTTCCAGTCTTACCAGAAAAGAAATGTGTTGCTCAGTGCTGTTACATTGTTCTCTCATTTCAAATGAGTGTTGAGTGTTCTCTTTAGTTGACTCAATATTAATCCCTAAATAAATAGCTAATTCAGAGAGATGTTTGAGACAATATTCTGAAGTTCTACCACCATTAATAATGCTGGACGTTAGTGCCAAAATAATAATAATAATAATAAATCATGCTGGACGATTTCTCTACTAGTTAATACAGCATTTCTCAACAAGTCGAAAAGCAAAAGTATTCAACAGAAAACCTTAGTTTGAAGGACAAAAGTATATGCACACATCTAATGCTGCCAAGGCATTAGGACAGAACAAAATTCATTTTAGTACAAAAAATGGAGTACATATGGACATGGCATATTTCACTAGCCACATTGTTGCAAAAGTTCAATCTTAACCACTACTAAAAAAGGATCCTCGGATCCTGGGGGATCGGGGGGGGGCTTTTCAGCCTACAAAAATGCATGAAAAAGAAAATAAAAACAGAAGGGCCACATTGTAAGACTAAATAATAACACCTTTTTATTCATAATTTCTGCTTCTGCTCAATACGGAGCTATAGATAGAAGCTGGCACAAATCGAACAGAACTCAGAAATCAAATTATTTATATTTCAGGCGTCACTTCCAAATCCATCTGTGTAGATGGATGGATGGATGGATAATTTCTATACATATGAACCAGAGAGTTAAGACCTTTATAGTGGTGATTTGATGAGCTTGTCAAGATGAATGTCCATAACCTCAGATACCGTTTCAAGAAATGCTGATTCGGCCATACCAGGAAGCATCGACTCTTGAGCTTCGCGAACAATATCTTCGATCACAGCTTTCTTTTTTATGGTTTCTCTGCACATCACACTTCCGATGGTGAAGGGAGTCAGACCTTTCTCAGCCCCTTTCTTCAGAAGCATTGTGGAGATGCGAAGTGTTCGTGCACATTCAAGGGACAAGTTCCATCCGTGGAACTGAAGAAGCCGAATGTCCATTTCTGCATCAAGAGAATTTATATAGCTAATGGTTTCTTGCGAGTATGGTTGCCGTGCTTGTGGCCAGTATAGCCAGTCAAACGTACAATCCTCAAACTGCCAAGAAACACAGCAGAAAAGTATCAGAAACCGATTAGGGAACAGAAGAAAACATTCTCTGTAATGGAAAGACAGATATTAACAGGACAATCCAAGATTATATCATTTTTAAAGTAAAACTTTAACACTCAATTCTCCAAAAATTTGTTACTGAGCTGGATAAGTATCCGATCATATAGTATTCTAATGGAGGAGCATCATGCAAGATAAGCTAAGTCACTATAGCATAGTACCAAAATATCTGCAACATGAACTCAGTTTAAACAAAACTAGACTAAAAGTAAGCTACATGTGTATATGCTAAAAGCAGCGAGGAGAATGAACTGGAGGGATTTTTTAAGTTTCCTGCAGGAGGCTCGACGCAGTTGAGCTCGACCATAAGGAGCAAACATAAAAAAGTTTCATCTTTCAAGGCCAATCACTTTTCTTAGTTGTGTTGTGTGTGTGTGTGGGGGAGGAGGATGGAATGTGGTGGTTTAAGGTAGCAGGATGCGACAGTATGATGCAACAAAGTCGTAATAAGCAACATAACCTTAGCCAATATTAAACATCATGTTGAAACAATCAGCTAGTTACCCATACTGTTCAGTAATAGTATATCTCAAGGGAAGCTACTCGTGCAGAAACAACGTCATGAAAGATTGCATGAATGTAAACAAACAGAACAGATTAAACGTTCTACTGGGGGAGAAAAACACTTCCGCTCCGTCTAAACTACATTATTTAGCTAATTAGCTGCGCTAACAATATCAGCACGTATTGTAACACTCAAGTTACAAAGTCATATTAATAAAAGTTATACTTGGAGCAGGCTCGTCATTCAGCAATAATTACTCAAGAAGTAATGATCAACTATAAATCAACAAAAAAATTAAAATAAAAATAACAATCCTTACATTTTCAGGCAAGCAGTAACCATGATCAATTGGAATAAGTGAGATTTGGCCTTGCTCTCCTTTACTCATCAAGATATTCCCTGCATGCCTATCAGCATTTGCAGTTCTGATGTCCAGGACACTAATTTTGTGAACCTCCTCCACTGGAAAACTCTGAGGACCCATGTCCTCGCAGCTCCCATGATTAGCCATGAACATCTGCAAAGATCCCATCTTCACCTTCTTCTTTGTACTGTCAAATCCTTTTGAATAATTGAACTCCTTGTGGGAGCACTGGATCATTACAGTTGGGGGTACACCAGCAAAACCAGGTTCCCAATTGGACAACCAACGGCTTCCATTCTTCGGGTGATCGAGTATATATGCTGCAACCTCCCTCAATGCACCTTCCCCAACTCTTGTTCCACTTTTTAATCCCTCACCATTTAAGGATAAAGGCAGGCCATTCGGGTTATTCACAGCCATTGGTTCTTCATCTATAGGCTTAAAAACAGCTATAATCTTATCTCCCGATGCATCTTGCATGAAGTAAGCCCCTCCTGTTCCATCAGATGATCGGACAGGAGGTATACCTTTCTCCAGACCTTTGAATACAGAATCAATCATATCCTGTAGAACAGGAGGAATTTTCACCCCTGCATTTCCAATCACTGGCTCAAGATCAACGGCATTCTTGTCCGGAGGCTTCCTAGAAATGACATGAAGTTCCCTAGGTTGTTCTTTCTTTTCATCACTACTCACTTCATCCCAATTTGGAGCCACAATAGATAACTCAAGATCCTTCTCAACAGGCTTGGCCCAAACTTTGGCAGATTTCTGAACCACAAAGTGTAACATACCATCACCATAGTTGCAAACTTCATTGATGAGTCTATCTTCATCAAGCTTCTCGCCATTATGAAAAACTTCCTGATCCTCAACATCATTGGTATCAAAACCCTTTTCTCCATGTTCTTTCTTGGCAATGAGACGCTTGAGATAACCCACATTCCGATGCCTATCGACTCGAAAATCAAATTCACTCCCACAAGTGGTCTTCACTGTGATCATAACCAGATCAGATACCTTCACAACCAAATGCAGAACATTCCCACTGGAAATCCCATAGTCCTTGATGAGGGAATCAGTCCTAGCTAACTCTCTCCCACCAAAAACCAGCTTCTGCTTTTTGGCAACAAATCCCTTCTCTGATTGAATCCTAAGTTTGACAGAACCAATAGAATCTGAATCTAAAACCCTCATGGGAGTGACAGAACCAGCAAGAGTGAGATATATCACAATGGATTCACCACCAACAGGGGCAAGATTCAATCCACTGAGATACCTCCTCACTGACTCTGCACCACCAATTGAGCTTAAAGCCACATCAGCAACAGACATTTTACGATTATCCGCCTCTTCAGAAACCACTACCTTCATACAAATCTATAAAAGCAACCTTTCTTTTCTTTTTTTTTCACCCTCTTTTCTCCGGCTTAAAAATCAACAAGGAAAGCCATCCCAAAATAAATAATAGCTATACAACCCCAGAAAGGAGTTAAAACATATATATATATATAACAACTGAGAACTATTGAGATTCTGATCAATTACTACCAAAAAAAGAAATAATAATAACAAAAAAGAATCTTAAAAAAGAGCAAGACCTAGCAGATTAGATAGGAATTGCCCCTTTTCATAAATCTTTCACCACCACCCCTGAAAAAATAGGTATGAAAACAACCGCAGAGAGAAAGAAGAAAAAACTTAAAAAGATGCTGCAATCTTTTTAAGCTTTTTTTTCTGTTTTTTTTTTTGTGAACCAACTGTTTTCTAAATCTATATATCCCAGCAATATTTTATGTTTTTTCCAAAAATGCAATCCCTCCTTCAAGAATTAAGACATTCCAACGGGAGACAGCTTCACCACAGCAAGAAGAGAGAAAAGAAAGAAATGGAGAAGTTTTTCTTGGGGGCGAAAATCAAAAATTTCTTCTTTTTTTCCAGAGATAAGTGAGAGGATTCTACCACGGTGGAAAGAATCAAAAGCCAAATGGGTCAGTGGAAATCAGCTTATATACAACAAAAATTGGAGAAAAATCAACAAATTAGATCGGGTAAAGAAAATGATGGGTTCAGAACAATTGGGGGAAAAAATAAATTAAATTTTTTTTCCTTTTTCTGACATGAAATTATCCCATTGGTTGGGTGTACGTGTTGAGCAAATCTGGTGTGTGATTGATTTGGGAGTGCTCTAAAACGGGGTCCGAATTCGTCGGAAGGATTTTGGAAAATTCCGGTAAAAGGGGTCGGAGAGATCGGAGAGAATTGAGATCATAGAGAGGGAGGTGGAGAAAGAGGGAGCGGATTTGTAGCCGTTGCCCTTTGAAAAGTTTTCTCTTTTTTTTTTTTTCTTTCCCTTTTTCCTTTTTCTTTTATTTTTTATTTTTAAAGAAAATTGCTGACTGAAAAAAGCCAGTACTTCTACTAAGTACTAACCGCCCCCATCTGACTGATTACGTTAACGGTTATATACACAATTCAGTGAATTGAGAAATACCCTATCATTTTTCACTAGTAATGACTAATGATGCTCCGACAACGGTATTTAGATTTTAGAGTGCCAATTAGACCATGATTTATAATTTTAAATCCCAAGTGGAATTGTATATGACAATTTTCGTAAAGAGATCGTAATTATTATTTCCTAGGGTTGAATTTTGATGTTATAATTAACGTACCGAATGATTTCATAACTATGAAATCATAATTATGATTTTTTTTGAGACAGTAATAATAATGATGATTGTGAAATCATATTTCATTGACTATGGAACGGTGATGCTAAATACTTGTTAAAGAGGTCAACGTATTTTTTCAGGAGTGCTTCCAGAGGTCCTGTTACTTTATTCTAATCTACATTTTGATTAAAGTTTTTTTTAAAAAAATTAATTGTAACTAAAATTTTACGTTTCTGTTACTCCTACTAGAATGTATAACGTTAAGGTCACTGTTTCATGAAATCAGGTTCATTCTTGTTTCAAATTTTATAATTAAGCAAACGTTGTTTAAGAATTAGTGTGCCTATTAATTGTGACAACTATCTATAGTATTATATTAAGAGAGAAACCAAAGAGAGAAAACAAAAAAGAATTCTACAGGTGCCACATAGGATAAAATTCTATGTGTCGTTTTTTATTGGTTGAGTCAAAAAATATTTACAACAATTATACTAATAGTCCTTCAAATTTTATGTAAATAAAGTTTTATCAAATGACATTTAAAACTGTAGTTTAAAATAGGAAAATAAAAATTAATTAAATTTAATGAACGGGATTAATAAACATAATGCACCAGAATTATTCCCTCCCAAAAATAATCCCCAATTAGTATTAATTTATTGATTTGAATTATAAGTTCAAAGGGATAAGGCATTTATTATTTTCAACATTAATTCACCGAAATTTTTTACCCCAACCAATTCGAATAAAAAAAATTCCTTTACAAAATAATCCCTAAAATCACTACTTGATTGATTTAAAACCTAAGTTCAACGTGCGGGAAAGTGGAAATTCTTTAATGATGAAAAACTAATCAAATTTAATTGAAAAAGACTAATCAACATTAATGCAACGGAAGTCATTTCCCCACCAATCTTATCCCTTAATCAACGTGACGTTATCATCTTTATTCCATAGTTATGAATTTTACTTTAGTTACTGGTTATGATATCTCATTCAGACATTCACTATAAATATCCACTTCGGTCTAACTATAACATGTACAATGACAACCGGTGAAACACCGAAGCGAATCATCTTATATACTTTACAAAACATCTTTGCAGCGACGACCTCACTCCGATCATGTTTTATTTAACATGTAAGGTGTCTCTTTCTCCAATTGTGTGCAATCTTGATTAACATGCGTTTTTAACCGTGTAGACATAAATTGCTTTGATTTATATGACATGTAACATCTGATTTATTATTTTGGTGGTCTTTTTTACTTTTATTTGTATTCAATTCTTATACATATTCTTTTATTTAATTACATTTTTGGCATACAATTTATAAAATGTTGTCATTTCAAAGTATATATAACAATTTTATTTATCACGATCTAATTTAATTTTAATCATATATTTATTATTACAAACCAGTTACTTTATTTGTATTAATCATATTTAAAATTTAAAAATATATTTTAATAGATGTATATATATAAACCCCACACATCGTGCGGGTTTAACATCTAGTAATTATCTATAGTATATATATTATACTAAGAGAGAAACCAGAGAGAGAAAACAAGAAAGAATTCTAAAGGTGCCACATAGGATAAAATCCTATGTGTCATTTTTCGATTGGTTGAGTCAAAAAATATTTACGACAATTATACTAATAGTCCTTCAAATTTTATGTAAATAAAGTTTTATCAAATGGCATTTAAAACTATAGTTTAAAATAGGAAAATAAAAATTAATTAAATTTAATGGACGTGATTAATAAATATTAATGCACAAGAATTATTCCCTCCCAAAAATAATTCCTCCCAAAAATAATCCCTAATTAATATTAATTGATTCATTTAAATTATAAATTCAAAGGGATAAGGCATTTATTATTTTCAACATTAATTCACCGAAATTTTTTACCCCAGCCAATTCGAATAAAAAAAAAAAATCCCTCTACAAAATAATCCCTAAAATCACTACTTGATTGATTTAAAACCTAAGTTCAACGTGTGGGAAAGTGGGAATTCTTTAGTGATTAAAAACTAATCAAATTTAATTGAAAAAGACTAATCAATATTAATGCAATGGAAGTCATTTCCCCACCAATCTTATCCCTTAATCAACGTGACGTTATCATCTTTATTCCATAGTTATCAATTTTAATTTAGTTACTGGTTATGATATCTCATTCAGACATTCACTATAAATATCCACTTTGGTCTAACTCTAACATGTACAATGACAACCGGTAAAACACTGAAGCGAAACATCTTATATATTTTACAAAACATCTTTGCGGCGACGACCTCACTCCGATCATGTTTTATTTAACATGTAAGGTGTCTCTTTCTCCAATTGTGTGCAATCTTGATTAACATGCGTTTTTAACCGTGTAGACATAAATTGTTTTGATTTATATGACATGTAACATCTAATTTATTATTTTGGTGGTCTTTTTTACTTTTATATGTATATAATCCTTATACATATTCCATTATTTAATTACATTTTTGGCATACAATTTATAAAATGTTGTCATTTCAAAGTATATATAACACTTTTATTTATCACGATCTAATTTAATTTTAATCATATATTTATTATTACAAACCAGTTACTTTATTTGTATTAATCACATTTAAAATTTAAAAATATATTTTAATAGATGTATATGTATAAACCTTGCACATCGTGCGGGTTTAACATCTAGTTAAAAAGATAAAGCGACACAGAAAGAGTTCATTGACATTTTTTTTTCTCCGAATGTATTAATAGATCCGTGTATATTGCACTCAAACAAAAATTGCTTATTAAAAGAAAAAAAAAATGACGATGGGAGTGTGACTCTTTTTCGGACGGAATGTGGAGACTATTATGAAAATCCAATTACACCGACCATATCTTTTCAAACAAGTGCACACCCCGATCGAGGAAACCTTTGATCAGCAGTCGTGTTAAGTAAATGAAGCGGATAAAGTGGATAATTAAATGAAGCTGGTGATTCCATGCATGAACCATCGTATATTAAGTCTTTTTTTTTTTTTTCCCCGTTCTAATCGGGATTTTGAACGAGTACAATGCATAAAATCTATAAAAAACCGTGTATTTTTCATAAAGAAACCCTCTAAATTTGTGTATAATGAGCACCAATATGTGATATGTCATCTACACTCTATAGGATTCAAGTTCTTGTACAAAAGGATGAATGGTTATTTTTTCGAAATCGTTGCCTCAAAATTTAAATCTCCAATTTAGCGATCATCACGACGTATACTTATTATATCATACCAAACTTTTGATCCCAATTTCCACGAGTTATATTAGATTTTCTTCCCAAGATTTTGATTTTTTTTTTCTTCTTTCGTAAGCCCCCCAAGATTTTTCAAGCAGAGCAACGGGCGTTGTACTCTCTCTCTCTCTCCCTATATACGTCGACGTTTCACTATTACTAGCTCTAATGTTCTTTTTGTCTGAAAATAAAGACACTACTCCCTCCATTCCAAAATATATGTCGCTGGATTTATTCTCAATATATAAATATTTGATTAAAATACCAAACTACCCTCATTTATTCTCAATACAATTCTATTCCTAATATCATTTAGTTCTAATACACTTCTATTTTAAATACAATTACAATTTCCCATGTAGGGGCAATGTCAGAAGAAATTGACAAAATATGCCTAGATATGCGAAAACGACATTTATTTTGAAAAAAATTGATTTTCTTCTTACGACATATATTTTGGAATGGGGGGAGTATATAATTACTATTTCTGTACAAAAAAAAAGGTTAATACTGAATTTTTAATGTGAATTATTTTTTAAGAACAAATAGAGTATTTAAATAATTTAATAAAAAAACACTATTATGAGGCCATAATCTCCTAGTCCCCAGCAACTGAGACAACTAACACTATCCTTTCTCTCTGACATCTCTCTAAACTCCCCCCAAGGCCGGCGATTCGCCGCTAGCTATAGGCCCTACACCGCCACAACGACCTTCGTTTGCTTAGATCTTAGCCTTTAATTCAAATCCAAAAATAATTTACAAAAATTCCACAAAACTCCAAATTCAAAATCCCTCATTGATTCATTCAGAATCAAAACTATTCAAAGGCGAGCCAACTTTTCTTCTTACAAAAGAAGAAGATTAACAATTGGCAGCCCTATTTCGACTTACCTTAGTCGGAAAATTCACCAAAGGTAGGCCAAAAATGATTTCCTGCAAAGAGAATTCCAAATCATTGGTTTCAAAGGGAACTTTTCAATTGGATCAATTGATTACCGGCATATTCTTATATGTTTCGATCTTGAAAGAACTTTCATCGCTGGTGGCTGGAAGGATTGTGGACCTTTGACAAGCATCGGATGCGAGTCTTAAAGTGGACCACTGACTTTAATCCCGCGCACAAAAGCATCGCTTCAATAAGGATTACTTGTGGAAACTTGCTAGCATCATAGGGAATTCTCTTCAAATTGATGTACCAATCCTCAATATGTCGCGACCCTCAGTGGCTCGTGTTTGTGTAGAGATCGATCTCCTCAAAGAACATCTCATTCGAGTCAAAGTGGGAATCGAAGGGAAGTCTTACTTTCAACCAATCTAATCTACTGTCGATTGCAAAAAAAATTGACCATAATTTTCACTCCTATCGACACAACACGAAACCATCGTCAATTCAAAAGCCTGAATCGCAATAAACGCAATCGCAGCAGCCCAAAAATCATTTTAAGTAACAAATGCAAGAAAAGCTTCCAAACATGCTGAATTTAGACAAACCAGAAAAGGCAGCGGTAGAAGACATGATTGTTTTCGGTGATAATGTTGCACCGCTGGTGTTGAAGACCCTCGCTGTTGAAGACGATCTGTTTCAGGGAAAAGACAGACAAAACAACACGCAGCCTGATCGTTGTGACATCGGAGAAGACGCTGCTTCTCCAACGGCAGCCACTGCTGATTCCGATCAACGCAATAATGGTGAAGTTGCGCTAGTGTTGCGGACCCTTGCTGTCGACGACGATCCATCTCAGGAAAGAGATCGCCAACTCTCCACGCAGCTTGATCAATGCAAAAGCGGAGAAGACTGTTTTTCCAATGGTAGCCACCGCTGATTCTCAGCGCGACAGCAAAAAATCTACTTCTCCGGTGGAATCCGCTGGGAATCATACTCAGTCAAACGCTGCTTCTCTGCCAAACATAGAGACACCAGCCAGCAATGGACCTCTGGTACCGGTTGAAGATTCTCCGTCAAAAGATTTCCGATGTGAGTTGCAGGTTTCACACCCTTCGCCCCTCGCACCTTGCCCGCAGAAACCCTCGCAACCGTCGCAATTTTCAGCGTCAAATCCGCAACAATTGAATCCCGTGACTTCAGCTTCTTCTTTGCAGTAAAAGTCTGATCCAGATAATCAATTATCAAGCGTGGAAAAATTGAATTCAAATCATGCAAATAAGGAAGTAATATCTTCCCCAAATACCTCTAATAACAACTCCAGTAAAATGTTAAATTCCGATACTCTAGAATTTACTATCTCTCCTCAACCCTAAATTCCTCTTCTACATGTTTTACTTCCAATCTCGGCCCAAAATTGTACTTGTCCAAGGATGATACGGTGGTAGGAAAGAATACTGAGCCTTTAAACCCAAATTATTCGATAGAAGAAATTAATTCCGAAGGCGGCATAAATCATGTCTCTGATGGTTCTGATGAAGAAAACTTCGATATGGTATACGCAATGGAACAAGAGTCTTTTACAGTGAAATTTCTGCTTCAACATACCACAATCGATTGAAAAAAGCCAAGGCTAAAAGAAAGTTCAAGTTCGTCGGTCTGCTAGATTGAACAAGGATTAAACTTTACTTTAAGATCAAAATTGTATTTGATAAAGGGTTTCGTATATTTACTGCTTTTTTTTATTATTAATAAAGTTATTTTTTGTTTTAAAAAAATAATTTAATAAATTAAGTTGAGATAGAAAAAAGGGCCATTTATCCAGTATACCCTGGAGCATGTGCACCTCCTCCTATGCACCTCCTCCTATTTTTTGCACTATTAGTCTTTATTGTAAGTACTTTTTCCTCAAGTCTTCCTAAATTTTGCAAATTTAGTTTCTGTTATTTTTTTTCTCTCTCTTCTAAAAAACATCTATAATCTTTAAACGACCATATTTCATGATCCGTAAAGAATTAAATAACGTGTTATGCATGAAAATTATAGTACTCGTCGAGATCTATCCAACAAGATCCATATAAAATATTTTTTTCTAACTTAAAAATGATTAAATTTTGATGGGCAGAAATAAAGAAATTTGTACATTCATTTGGATGGATATCCAGTTAAAAAGATGAATAATCAACTTATTTTATATTGAGATTCTTGTATTGCATATATCTTTTGATCCATAAAGAATTAGAACACGAATAATATATAAAATTTATAGTGCTCGACGAGATCTATCTGATAACATCAATGTTGAATATTTTTTTTGAACTTTAAATGCATTTAAATTTTATGGGCAAAAATGAAGAAATTGAAAAATGGTTACTTGTTGTGTTCATACTGATTATCCAATCGGTTTGGACTCATTATCCATTTTGTTTGTACTGGTTATCCAATCATAATTTTTGACATTCCCTCCTCTTCAAAAAAAAAGAAAGAAAAAAAGAATAAAGTATTTGGATAAGCATTACAAACAATTTGGATAACTATTGAAAATAATTGCATAAGCAGTAAAAACTGGTTAGATAATCAGTACAAAAGAATTGGACAATCATTTTTATAAAAGAGAACGGAAAAAAAAAGGTTGGATAACCATCACCAAGAAGTCGGACGGATAATCAGTATGAACATATTGGACACATATTTTATGAAAAGAAAAAAATGAAGAGAAATTATGTTTGGATAATGAGCAAAAATAATTGGATAACCAATACAAAACGGTTGGATAATCAGTACAAAAAATTGGACAAGAATTTTTGCAAAGAGTGGTGAAAAAAATGGTTGGATAATTTATACCAAACAGTTGGATAATCAATATGAACGCGCAGGACAACCATTTTTTTCAAAAAAAAAAAAGAAAAGAAAAACTAGGTTGGATAAGTAGTACTAATTAATTGGATAATCAGTATTAACACATTGGGCAATGATTTTCTAAAAAAAATATTAGATAACTAGTACAAATAAAATGGATAATCTGTTCAAACCGGTCGGATAATTAGTACAAACACAAATGGATAACCATTTTAAGAAAAAACTAGGTTGGATAAGCAGTACCAATTAGTTGGATAACAAGTAAAAACACATCGGACAAATATTTTCATAAAAATTTAAAAAAATAGCTGGAGAAACAATAGCACGAGATTGAATAATCAGTACAAACACATTAATTGGACAAGCATTTCTCAAAAGAAAAAAATTATTGGACACAATACAAACTTATTTAGACTAGCAGTAAAAATAATTAAATAACCAATACAAAGCGATTGGATAATCACTATGAACACATTGGATAAATCAACCGTGTTTCAAAGAAAAAAATGATTGGATAAGCGGTATAAACAAAATGGATAACCAGTATTAGCGTATTGAAACAATGATTTTTTCCAAACAAAAAAAAATGATTGGATAACCAGTACAAACAATTTGGATAGCCATATAAATCTGTTGGATAACCAGTACACATAAATTGGATAAGCATACAAACCAAATGGTTAGATATCCAGTACAAACAAGTTTGATATTCAGTACAAACAAGTTGGATATGCATACAAACCCGTTGGATTACAACTACAAAACAAGTTGGATAGGCATACAAACCAAATGGATAACCAGTACAAACAAGTTGGATATCCAGTACAAACCCATTGGATTACAACTACAAAACAACTTGGATAGGCATACAAAGCAAATGGATAACCAGTTTAAAACTGGTTGTATAATCAGAATGAACACAATGGATAACCAATTTAAAATAAGTTGGTTATCCATCTTCTTAAACTGGATATATAACCAACTTATTCTGCCCATCAAAATTTAGTCATTTTTAAGTTCGAAAAAAATATTCGATATGAATCTTGTTGTATAGATCTCGATGAGAACAATAAATTTTACATGTAAAACATTTTCTAATTATTCACGGATTGAGAGTTATACTCGTTTAAACATTAGAGATTTTTTTAGAAGAGAGAGGAAAGAAAATAATATGGACTAAACTTGAAAAATGTAAAAATATTGAGAAAAAGTACAATAAAGACTATAAATACAAAAAGTAGAAGGGAGAACATGATACTTCGGGGTATACTGCATACAGACTCGAAAAAAATTAAATAATATTACTTTTATTACAAATGTTTAGTCTGGATTTTCATGTATGTATTAATATTTAAATTAATTATACTAAAAGTGAAAATTTAAAGGGAAAAATTATTTTGGGTGAATTAAACATGCATCAAAACCTGATAATTGTTCTGCTTGAACCACGACAAGAAATGGATTTGGACATTTAGTTGGGACTTGGAAAGATAGCGTGAAAAAGTGCGGAATTATTGTTGGAAAAAAAAAAAGAAAAAAGAAAGAGCAAATGAAAATTCATGCATTACCAGTAATGGTGGAAGGTTCTTTTGGTTGCTCTACTTTCCACGTTACATATCCAGCAAATCGCTCTTTAACTTGAACCTGGTCATCAATCATTCAAGGAACTTTAAGTATGTAAATATTCAGTCTGCTTCAAAATATTTGTTCATCCATTTTTAACATAATTTCTATTCAAAAAATAAAAAATTTAAACTAAACATTCCTTTCAAATTGGAGAGTACATACATTCATTTGTGTTTGTAAAGTTTTTTTTCCCCCTAATACTCTTTCTAACCCAATTTGATAAAGGCAATTTCATTTGTTAAATTCTCATAATCAAGATCACCATTCAACAACGCTCCGACTTGTATCCACAAATACGCCGTCTGATCGCTATTAGTAGGACTTTCGACAAAAGACTCATAATTGACCATCCAAATCCATTAAAAACTACAAGTCGTTGCTAGGTTAAATTAGACGAATACGCTACACTATCTGCACATCATCAGACTAGAATCAAAGGACGGAGACCACTTGTTATGATCTTTATTCATGGTCTATATCTCTTCAAGCCTAGTCTATAAGTTTGAATAAGGTTGCAAAAATAATTGGTAATAGAGAAAATAATCTACTAAATTTATATGTTGAGTTTGAAACTATCCCACCACCGATGTGGGATTGAATTTGTACCCCACAAAATCTTAAAATTTTATCCATCTTAAAATGACTATACAATTTAAAAATTTTACGTTTATATATTGTAAGTAAAAAATTCAAACTGGATAATCATTTTTAACAAATTGAGTATCACTTTGTATACGATGAAATCGGAATGCATATGTGAATTTTTAAATGCTCGTAACACTAGCATTGTGAACAATCATCCTTATACAATTGGGGTGGAAAATGTCCTAATAAGCGTTTTGAAATATTTCCTCAATTTTTCGAATTGGGATGGAAGGATAATATCCCTGTGGGAATTATATATGCAATACACTTGTCTCTTTCTGTTTCGATCATGACGTTTAGAATCACACTCTCTAATATGGAGTCTGAAGCAATATTTCTATCATATAATACTTAAAAATATCATAATATATATCAATCCTTCCATTCCTTTTGAAATTTGAAGAAAAATCCTAAACGGTATTAGTAGTGGCATTATTTCTTCCCACAAAATTTTGATAATTTTCGGATTTTTCTTTTCCAATTTTTGGTGTTCTTAACAAAGGCAGTGTTATTTTGGAGACATATATAGTAATAATAGTAATACATTGGAATAACCTAAAGTGACTTACATGGAAAAAAATAAAATGCAATATATATATATATATATGTATAATTTTAAGAGTCAAAAATCTTTCTTGAAATAAGAAAAAAGAAAAGTGAATAGAATATACTAACCTGAGTATGAGCAGAATAAAAAATAAAAAAGAGGAAATTGAATATAATAATTTGGTGTATAGAAAAGTAAATGCAATATAAACAATTCATGTACGAATGGAAGCCTACAGAATTAAAATTTTAAGTGAAGTCGAA